GGTGAAGAAAGTGAAGATAACTTGAACGACGTAAGTCGGGCGTATAAAGGAATGAGAAAAGTAAAGATGAAGGGAATGTATTAACATTGTTTTCGATTGCAGACGGAATTTGTGGCATATAATTCGCCGGATTCTATAAAAATTCAATGCCTGTACATATATTTTGTTTAATTAGTTCCTGTGAATAGTAATTATTTACAATGAGACAATCTCTAACAAGTTCGGGCTCAACCCCTCCGCTTCTTGCAATGATTATTCGAGGTAGTAACTCGAGATCAAAGTACTGCCGTAATGTCTTTGCCGTCTATGTTCCGTCAACAAGGCAAATTGGGGGGAGAAACATGAGTGGGATAGTACGTATAGTAGCTGTCTCTTTGTGAATTATTTAGAATTTGTCTTAAAGTGCGACGATAGCAATTTATAAAATTAAAATAGTTTTATCCAATAAACACTTTTTTGTCTATATAAAAACCTCAAGTTAGCTTATTGTTAAAAATCATTTATTTTATTGTAATAGCCACGAGAATTTATTTGTAATCTGGCGATTTGAGAAGTTTTCATTGCTTAGATAGATAGTAAACATTACATCAACTAAGGCATATTTTATATTGACCGATTGGTGGAATATTTGTAGCAAGGAAACAATTCGAGAGCCCTAATCTTGGTTATTCCTTTTTCTTCAAAGTTTCTCCAGTACGCGTAAATTTCTTCCCCAAATAATGTCTGCCTTGCTCGTAATATTGGCCCATGTTATTGCCAACCACTTCAAGCGTACTATAATAGAATTGTAAGATAATAAGTACATATATAAATCATACGATTATTCCACATTGGTTTCGTTGTATCCTACCGCTGGCTGCACGATTTAGCCTTCTCTTTCGCATACTCGTACTTCTTATCGATAGCTTCTTTGTGATATTTATAACCGGCTGGAATCGTAAACGCTGCCAAAAGAACTAATACACGGTCGACTTGGCATTAATACATGTTGTATACGGAAATAGTCCATGAAGCGAACAGCCAGTTACTTACAGAGTTCTAGAATGGTTGGTACTGAGAACCACGTTGTAAGGTACCAAAACGCAAACACAACACCTGCATACTAAGAAGCCGATGTAATATTTACAATTAGTAACACGAATTTTTATCATTAGCAGAAACAGGAAAAGATTATCAACCTTGGCAGTTCTGAATGCATCTTCAACGAGTACGATTTTTATGCTTTCGCACA